TGTGGCCGCAATGCTCATCTGCTATGGCACATAAAAATATGCGGCCCGCACAAATAAAGTGCGGTCCGCACTCTTTTGAACACTTAGCCATATTATCGTTCACAATTCTTGTAAGTCACACTCATCCTTGTAGCACACTTCAAATCAAGTTAGAACACAAATAACACCTAACTACAAAAGAAAAAGAAAAAGAAACATGGATTGCCTCGCAAGAAGCGCCTGATTTAGCGTCGCGGCACGACGTAGAAAACTCTCAAATGAAGTGAAGGGCTGCCACCACGTGGCTATCTACAAACTTGCCCAAGTAGTGCTTCACCTGGTGGCCATTGACTCGGAATACTTCATTGTTTTTGTTCTTCAAGTCTAATGCTCCAAAAGGTATCACACCCACAATTTCAAAAAGGACCACTCCACTTGGATTATAGCTTCCCGGGAAACATCCTCAACCTTGAGTTAAACAACAATACAAGATCACCCACCTTGAACTCTTTTTTCAAAATGTATTTGTCATGAAGATATTTCATCTTTTCTTTGTACAAGGACGAACTCACATAAGTATGGTACCTGAATTAATCCAATTCATTCAAATGTGCAACCCTCAGGTTAGCAGTTATATCCCAATCAAGATTCAACTTCTTTAGAGCCCACATTGCCTTGTGCTCTAGTTCCACCGGAATATGAAAAGCTTTTCCGAACATCAACCGGTATGGTAACATTCCAATAGGTGTTTTGCAAGTCGCCCGATAAGCCCATAATGCATCATCAAGCTTCTTGGACCAATCCATCTGATTAGCATTCACTGTTTTGGACAAGATACTCTTTATCTCACGGTTGGATACTTCTACATGCCCACTAGCTTCTGGGTGATAGGGATTCGTGACTTTGTGAGTAATAACCTACTTGCTAAATAAAGTGTCAAAAGCCTTATTATAAAATTATGACCCCCCATCGCTTATAAATGCATGCGGAGTATCAAACCTTGTGAAAATATTCTTCTTCAAGAAAGCCACCATACTTCTCGCCTCATTGTTGGGTAAAGAAACGGCCTCAACCCATTTGGAAACATAATCCACCGCGACCAATATGTAGGTGTTTCCACAAGAGTTCACAAAAGGGCCCATGAAGTCAATACCCCACACATCAAAAATAACAATCTCCAAAATGGTTGTAAGAGGCATTCATTTTTCTTTGAGATTCCATCAAACCGTTGACATTCATCACATCTTCTCACTAACTCACTTGCATCCTTGTAAAGAGTGGGCTAATACAAACCACAACTAAGCACTTTTGTTGTCGTTATCGCTCCACCATGATGATCACCATATGGCGAAGAATGACAAGCCCCAACAATTTCACCTTGCTCTACTTCCGGTACATATCTTCTAATCACTCCATCCATAAAAATCTGGAAAAGGTATGGTTCATCCCAATAATAATCTTGACAATCCCATTTTAGCTTCTTCCTTTGGCTTGAAGAGAACTAATCCGGAATGATTCCACACACAAGAAAATTTGCTAAATCCACGAACCATGGCACCTCTTTCATTGAAATTGCCAAGAGCTGCTCATCGGGGAAAGAGTCATTGATCTCAAGGCCATCATGCGGCCTCCCCTCCTCCTCCAAATGAGACAAGTGGTCCGTCACTTTGTTTTCACTGCCTTTTCTATCTTGTATGTCAATATCAAATTCTTGCAACAAGAGTACACATCTCATTAACCGAGCTTTGGAGTCCTTTTTTCTCATAAGATAATGAAGCGCCGCATAATCCGTGTGGACAATAACTTTTGCACCAATGAAGTACGGGTAAAACTTCTCAATTACAAACACAATAGCAAGGAGATCTTTCTCCGTAACGGTATAGTTGACTTGGGTACTATTCATGGTCTTACTAGCATAGTAGACCGGATGGAAAATCTTGTTGATGCGTAGCCCCAAAATAGCCCCAACCGCTACGTCACTTGTATCACACATGAGTTCAAAAGGCACTCTCCAATTTGGAGCGGTGATAATGGGAGTAGTTGTCAACTTGAGCTTCAACAATTCAAAGGCTCTCATGCAATCATCATTGAAATTAAACTTAGCATCCTTCTCAAGAAGCTTGCACAATGGGTTTACCACCTTAGAGAAGTCTTTGATGAAGCGCCGGTAAAAACCCGCATGGCCTAAGAAACTCCGCACACCCTATACCGAAGTAGGGGTGGAAGTTTAGAAATCACCTCAATCTTTTCCTTGTCAACTTCAATAATATTCCTTGAGATTTTGTTGCCAAGGACAATACCTTCCTCGATCATGAAATGACATTTCTACCAATTGAGCACTAAATTTGACTCTTCACATCTAGCCAACACTTTGTCCAAATTTGCAAGACAATCGTCAAAAGAATCTCAAACCACCGAGAAGTCATCCGTGAAAACTTCAAGGTAGTCCTCCACCATGCCCGTGAAAAATAGTCATCATACACCTTTGAAAAGTCGCCAGTGCATTGCACAAACCAAATGGCATCCGCTTGAAAGCAAAAGTACCATATGGACATGTAAAAGTTTTTTTCTCTTGATCTTCCGGATCAATGAGAATTTGGTTGTAGTTCGAGTACCCATCAAGAAAGCAATAGAAAGCACGATCGGCCAATCTATCGAGCATTTGATATAAGAAAGGAAGTGGAAAGTGATCCTTCCTTGTGACTTTGTTTAGCTTGCAATAGTCCATGCACACCCTCCAACCGGTAACCATTCTAGTAGAAATGAATGCATTCTTTCTATTGGTGACCACCGTCATGCCCCCCTTCTTTGGGACACATTGAACCGGAGAAGTCCATGAACTATCAGAGATGGGGTAGATAACCCCGACATCCAACCAATTGATAATCTCCTTCTCGACAACTTCTTGCATAGCCTCATTGAGTCTCCTTTGATGTTCAATAGATGGTTTGGCGCCATCGTCCAACTTGATCTTAATCATGCAAAAGACGGGGCTTATCCCCCGAATATTCGCCAAGGTCCACCCAATAGCCTTCTTCCTCTTTTGTAGCACCGCTAATGTGAAATCTACCTGCACGTTAGTCAAACAAGAGGAAAGAATAACCGGTAAAGTAGAACAAGGACCAAGAAATTCATACCGAAGATGTGGAGGCAATGACTTTAACTCCGAGGTGGGAGGCTCTTCAATAGAAGGCTTTGTAGGAGGAGTTGTCCTATTTTCAGAATCCAAGGACAATTTTTGGGGTGCATAGTTGTACGACTCCATTCCTTGCAAAGAGTTTACACATTCCATGAAGCCATCCATCTCGTCATCATCAAAGTTGAGCAAGACAACCTCCAACATATCACCAATATTGTGTTCTACAATAATTTCCTTGAATCGAGTTACAACCTTAGGTTAATACTTTTAACTTGCTTAGTCAAATCCTGAACAAAAGACTTTATTTGACGAGTTTCTTATAGGACCTTCTATTTTAAATAAATAGCATATGTTGGCTTGCGCACACACCCTCGTAACATTAACCCTTAGTACTTTTCCAGACTACGCATGTCTTCATTACGATATTCAAACATCATAGCTACATTATCTCAATCTTGTTTGGTTGAACTTAAGTCGCTTTACTGTGGCCCTTCCTTCCCCACTTTGGGTGAATGTTTCGAATTTTGACACAGGTCTTGAACTTATAAAATTGAGGGGCATATCTTACACATCTCTAGTCCTCTTTTACAGGATCGACTATTAAGGAGGATTAAGTTGCCATGGTATAACCTCATAAGCGATCAACTGTAAGGCCCCGTAAAGCTCACCAAGGATTTAAGGCTTTGTGGTGCCGAGGTACGGATTTTTAGACTTGAAATGCATCATGGGGTTGGTAGAAAGAAATTTGCAAAAAAAGTATTTTTGCGGTCCATTTCACCACCGCGGATCGGTTTCGTTCACCGCAGAACCATCGTGGATGTGATCAGGAGCAACTTAATATTGAGTGTCATTTCGCGGTCCAATGTGCGACCGCAGATTCATTTTGCGGATCACGTATACGTCGCATAATTAGCATGGAAATTTTTGAAAGGAGATTTTGCGGTCCAGTATCCGACCGCAAAATCATCCTTTGGATCCGCCGCAGATCGTACCAGACCCAACCCAAATATTTGGAGACCATTTCGCGGTCTAGTTCGTGTACCGTACAACCTGTCTGTGATGTATTGGATTTTACTCGGAGGGTCATTTTAGCAAATTTTCTAACCTGAATCTATTTTAATATAAGGACTTAAGGGGTTATTTTTAGAGGGGAATCAGATTACTTTAGAGAGAGAGAGAGCACTCTAGAGGGAGGGGGATGAGATCTAATCTTTCTAACTATCAATTGTTTCTCAAATCTTGGGATTTAAGAGGGAAATTCACAGGGTCTTCAACCAGTCGGGTAAGTGTCCGCCCAAAGCTTCCATGCAAAGTTTGTAATGGGTTTAAGTAAAGGTTTTATTATTTTGGGGCTTATGGGATTGCGATCGTAAGCCATAATCCTTATATTTCCAAATTTGATGTGTGTGAAGAGTGGAGGATGTGATTCTTGGTGGTTGGAAGCAATTGGTTGGGCATGCATGTGCCAATGAAGGTTGTTGGCTGTCGTAGGGATATTGTAGACTGATTGGTTGCTTGAAAATTCATTGCGGGGTAGAGGAATTTTTATTATGGAACCTTGTAGTCGACTTAGCATATTTGATGTTTGATGAAATTCCTAAAAGGGCTAAACCTATGAGAACCTTCCTAATTATGGTTCAATTTGACTATGTTTTTATAGATTGAAGGTTCTAAGAGTAGTGAAATATTGTAGTAATCATAAGGAAGCTTAATTAATATATGTTGACTAAACTCCCTCCGTAGAATCAGATTCCACGAATTCCTTGTAAATCAATTATGGTTTGTTCAAGTTCTTGTTTTTACTTTCCCTCCCTATTTTTCCTCTTCTAACTTTTTCGCGCCTTGTTTTCACAAAAGAGAGACTAAGCGTCTCAAGGAAAAACAAAAAGAAAAAGTAAAAGTCCAAATACAGATACAAAACAGAAAAAGCCTAAATTTGACACAAGCCCTAAACGACCTATCGTCCACACTCAAGCTACCACCGAGAAAGGCTTACGGGAAAATCCAAGAGATTTGTTCAGCCCTAAAAGACCTGCCGTCCCTAGAGGTTCTGATCTCTATCCAACTCTCTTTTTCTTCAAAACAGATTTGTTTTCTTAAATTTTTGCTCGCATTCATCAACAGAGAGCTTGTTGAGGCCTCTCCAGTTTGAAACTAACTTAAGTCTCATCTCCTTTACACTAGGTAAGATTCATGTTATATACTTGTTTATTAATTTACTTATTTGTCAAGTAAAAGAGAAATTGGGAATAAATTATTGGGGTAGCTAATTCTACCAATTTATATGTTTCTTTACTCTTTGTGAAGGTAATCAGACAAAGTAAAGCAAAGACCTCGAATCGAGTTTTTGTCGGCCTTCCTAAACATGTTATTAATTTCAATTAAGATAATTCTCTATCATTAGTTTACAAATCGTTCTGGTCTGTGATTACGACTTTAGACTTTTGTTGATTAGTAGATTGTTGATTTCTTTGTTTTGTGTTTTGTTTTGTTGCCGTTTCTTTGCCGATTAGTGTATCTTTAGGCTTCAGGCGTTAGAGTGTTGTTAATTGTTTATGAGAAGTACAGTGCTGGAGTATTCATATTAAGAAATTCTTTTATTTTCTGTCAAAACAATATTGAACTTTTCAACTAAATAACTATGGAAACTTAAGGAGGCACGAGGACCTTCACATTCTAGCAATAAGTCTAGAGTCTGAGTTATATTAGGAGATTTATGTCTTTATCTTCAAGCACGTCAAGTTACATACAATTTCCGTTCCTTTTTCTAAATATTATTGAATAACAATGTTTTAACAAGTATATTCCCATGCCTTTGTTGCTTTCACTAAATCATGAATGAGATTTGAGTTGTCCATCTTTTGCTTAAATCTGTGAATTCTACATGCTTAATTGTCGGACTAGTTTGGACTCTTTCCTCTTTGATTTCTGATTCTGTTAGCATGTTTCAATGTAAAGTTTAAGTGTGATTTGGTTTCAGTGATGAATTTAGCACCTATTTGTTGAAACTACTTACGTGAAATGATCAAGTTAATATGGAAGATGACAGAACCAGGAATCTGACCACCAGTAGGTCAGAGTCATTTCTGGCGAAGTCAGTGCAACATTTTTAATCACAGTGTTGCAAAGTGTATTTGTTTAAAATATTGGATATCTAGAAATCAAAAGCAGTAGAGTTGATACCTCTCTTTTCAGCAGATGCTTAGTTACTATGTAAATGGAAATATCAATATGATTCTCTTTTTTATGATGATTTTATCATTGTGAACAAGTCAGCTGCTTACTATATCATATTTAGGCAATGTCAAGATAAGTGAATAAGCATGATATGAGAAGTTCCTCTCTTATAATGCATTTAACTTTTCAGTATTATCACATATATGCTACTTTAGCACATTAGTTGGTCTCGCCATTACTATCATTGTCAAAGTTTGCATCTCTTTCTTTTTGTGCAGTAGAGAAAGCTTTAGATTAAGTGATATAATTATGTATCTCCAGTAATTCCTGAAATTTGTTATTTAGATCTTAATTTTTTTGATTTGCATTTGTGACCCATATGGGATTTAATATTCAATGGATAATGGAGATAAAAGTTGGATGGGTCTCCGAAGATCCACCGATGAGTATATTCGCGGAGTGAATGATTTTCTTGATAAGGCATTTGAACGGGCTTCCAAAGGCAATGAAATATTATGTCCTTCCGAACCTTTATCACTTCGAGAATTCTTTGTGGCTACAAGAGCAAGAAAACTTGGAAGGTCATACAAGGAATCTGATGAAGATACAACTACTAAAATTGTGCGAATTCTATCTTATTACTTTTTTATTGAGATGAATTATTTGTTCTTACTGACTTTTTATTTACCAGAATTTTTATTTTAAAAATTTGTATTATAGGCTGAAATGGAAAAAATTGAAACACAACAAAGTGAAGATGGTAGCAGTTCTGTTAATGCATTTGCAGCCGTTATGGGACCTGAACATCCGGGACGTCTTAGATTGTATGGATGAGGGGTTACAAGAACTTCTTTGAAAGGAAAAATGGGACATTTTGAATCCTCTTCAAATGCTACAAATGATCTGGTGCAACAAATAGAAGAAAGGATGACAAGAATGTTCGAGGAACAGAAGGAATAATTTGAGAAACAGAAGGAACAATTTGAGAAACAGAAGGAATAATTTGAGGAACAAAAAGAATGATGCGACAAGAAATTTTAGGAGATATGTTTGTACAGCTTCAGCGTTCAGGATTGCAAATTGATCCTAATATTTTAGCAAACTTGTGTGCTCGTTCACCGGGAGAAGCTTTGTCCTCACACCAAGTAGCTATTCAACCAATCAACATGCCATCTTTTGGCAACAACAATCAAGGTTCGAATTCTTTTCGAGATTAGTTATAGATTGGTTGTGTGCACAATCTGTATCTCTCAAAAACAGAGACTGATTTCTCAGAAATAGAGACTGATCTCTCTTTTCCTCTTTGTTGTGTGCGCAATATGCATCTCTTAAAAACAGAGACTGATCTCTCTTTTCCTCTTTGTTGTGTGCGCAATCCGTGTCTCTCAAAAATAAAGACTAATATCTGTTGCATACTCTTTTGTTGTGTGCGCCATCTGTGTCTCTCAAACTACTATCCTTTGCTACTTCTAATTAATTGATCTACTAGCATCTAGTATAAAAGTGTTTCATTGTGCTACTGAAATTTTGGTGCTGTGGTGCGTACTTTTGTAGCTGTTATTGCTACCCTGGTGTATGAAATCATGATGCTGGTAATGTGGTGCACATTTCCTTCAGTTTCTGCTGGTGCACATTATACTCTCTTTCATATTTATAAGTAAAAAGCTAAGTACCTATGCTCCAATAGATAATGTAGAGTAGTAGTGGCAGGCATGATTTTGAAACCAGTGTGATGGATTGGTGGCCCAAACACACCAGTTTGAGGGTGAGGAGCCCAGTACTTGTCGTCTGATTGTTCCTTGATCACTTCATCTGCGTATTCCTTTGGATTCTTGTCGTACACTGATGCGTGCACTGCCCTCCTACACAACACAATACTCACTATAAATAAGTCTCAAGATCCAACAACAGGAGGCGAAATAGAAAAATGGAGATTTGTGAATACATATAACACTTGTGTGTAGAGTATAGACATAAAAACTGACCTGCCACTTGCGCAGCTGAATTGGTTCAGAAATCGCTTCCCCAAGCTCAAGAGTCCCCTCTTCTGTAAGAGTCACTATCTTACATAAGATAGTGATTTTTTTGGTGTAACGTTTTGCATACTTGGACTTCTGGTTCTTTTTTGTAGCTTGATTTTCTGAAGTGGCAATGCCAATTTCATCTTTTATTTTGTATTCTAAGTATATATTATTTTATTGGTGTTAATATATAGTGCAATAATAATGATATTGAGAAGGCAATATTTTTCTTTTTCCTACCCTCTAACTATTTTTGTTCTTGTTGGATTTACAGGTAAACCAAATGATCAAGGGGGAGATGAAAGCAGTGAAGACCTTACCTAAAAGTATTGGTTGAAGAATCTTCAGACAATCTAGGAATGTTTTTATTTTTGAACTTTTTTGCAAACTTATAAATTCCAACTCTTGGATTATTAAACACTTTTATTGTATATTTTACTTTTATAAATGGATAATCGTAGTTGTATATTTTGAATTATGATTCTGTTGATAAATATATTTTCATTTCATCAGTTATATATTAATTTCAGTGTATTATACATTTATCTTGTTGTGACAGCTGACAACAACCGTTAATAGCTTCCAACAGCAGTCACACAGTAACTGAGTATAACCGTTGCAGTAGCTCATTATAACCATTGCAGCAGCTTGTAATAACCGTTCCAACAGGTAAAAAAATCAATATAAAAATGTTGTAATGTCTATAGCAACGGTTCTCAGTCGTCGCAATACACAAATAGCGGCGGTTCAAAATCGTTGCCATAACTCACTATTAATCGTTAGATTTGATCATGATAAAATCGTCGCAGTAGATGTGCCTATGGCAGCGGTTATGAAACCGTTGCTTGAAGCCATTGCAATAGACCAATAGCGATGCAAGATCCCGCAATAGATGCTAAACCGTGGCACTAGCTTTATCGCAACGGTGTTATTTCCTATGCCAACGGAATGTGTGGCGTTGCCTTAGGCTTGTTTTCTAGTAGTGTGGGTCCCTCCTAATATCCTCTGGAGCAGACGGAGTAGATGAGTTATGAGACGGCATCTCGCTCTCAGCCTCACTTTGGCTAGCTCTGGCTAGAGGCACTTGACCGGTACCCTCTCCCGCAGCTGTATCAAGCCGTCTACTAATCGCTCGCTTCCTAATCGAAGGCATCGCTGAAAGAAAACAAGGTGAATATTAGAGATGAACACTTATGACTCAACTCTACGCACGATCTAGATTCAGGAAGAAGGTAACAATCCTAGATGTCATGTAGCCTCCTAATTATAAATGTGGCGTGCTACACATCCATAATCAAGACTCTAATAGACACGGCTTATAGACAACCCCTAGGACATACTTGCTCTGATACAAAGTTTGTCACGACCCAAACTTGAGAGCCATGACTGGCACTCGGGCCATACCTGCCGAGCACCAATGTACATTTTATCTAACCTTTCTTATTATCTATAAGGGCCGACGAGATCAACATAAATGGTAGACATGAATCATGATCAACCAACAATGACAGATAATGGCATGAACATACATAACATGGGTCGACAAGGCTGTCATGAAGCTATATATAAGGTACGAGCTGCCAAGCTGTCACGGGAGACTATACAACAAAAATTAGCTGACAAGGCAATCCAAACTATACATGAGTCGACACCTGTATATGAGCCTCTAAAGGAACATAAGTGCTGCAACATTGCCGGAATAGGTCCCCGACATACCCATAATGTCTATAACAAAAGTGCATACCAAGACCGCGACAAGTCCGAAGAAGGTGGATCTCGCCAATAACCGCTGAACTGGGTAGCCTATTGTGGTGGGGGAGCTGCGTCTACCTGTCTATCATGACCTGTAGCGTCCACAAATAAAAGAGATGCCAGTATGAATAAAGTACTGAGCATGTAAGGCAGGAAAGCATAAATAAGAACAAAAATGTAAGCAGGGATAGAGAATATACAACCTGTAACATCTGAGTGCCTCTGAGGGCGATTGACATGAAATACATGATACATACATACATACATACATATA